TTTCTTTCCTGTTTTCCCCAGGGAGCCTGAGGGAAACAGATCCTGCCCTTATGTGTCATATGTACCCAGAAGATTAGAAAAGGCATATTTCAAGCACAAACATGCTTAGAACACAGAGACACAAATTCACACTCAAATCTGCCATATATATGCTCTACTGTTAAGTCTATAAGCACATTTCCCCTCCACCCTGTATGATTAAATGAGACATGTGCGGATGGATTCCGGATATCCTCCCTAATTTAAGCATGAGCTCATTGTGCAGCGCAATGTCATGCTATGTCCAAGCATCAGCCTCAAGGGCAATAAACCCTGTTGGTCATAACATCTGCAGATTAAAAAAAATAAAATGCAGGCATGAAATGAGAGAACAAAAATGATGACGTGAGAGAAGACAGGCTAAAAAGATCACAGGCAAAATGAGTGAGAGTACTTCCAGACAAATGCAGAGATGCCGATAAAGATACAAGATCCTGTGTCTGGTGAAAGAATGAAGATAGGACAATAGCCAAGTGATTCATCATTCCTGTCACTTGCACACACAGACATGCAGACACATGTGCCCACATAAAGTGTGAAAACAAACACATAAATCATTGCTACTTAATGAATGAGACAGATGCCTATGCATAGGCTGTGCTGTGTAAGCCTCCCAAGATGATCCTGACAACCAAAAGTGAAGACAGCAAGGGATTTTCAGAAGTTTGATCTGGGGTGGCTTATAAACAACAAGGCTTTAGCCTAGATACTGTATCTTTGGTTGTGTGTCTATACCTGGGTGGGGGATGCAACAGACATGGATAAAACTCTCTAAAAAAGGCAGACAGGGAAGCTGTAAACTCCCAGGAGACTGAGAGACAATTACAGTAGGCTGACTTCAAGTACCTGTGGGAGAGGAGGAGAGACAGTCATAAAGGGAGATAAACCAACTGACCACACAGTCTGTGTTTCTTATAGTTTGTCCTTCTTTAATTCTCACTTCTGAGCCATCTTATTCTACATTCTGCCATTAACAGAAAAGGACCTCAAGTATCCCTGTGCCACAGGTTGTGGCTTTGATCACTTGCACACACTTGTGCACAAGCTGTCTCCTAGGATAGGGGGGTCTGGAGAGTTCCTGGATGATTAGTCAAGGATCATAATTATATTGCCTCAATGAGGAAAGGCACTGTCCTTGCCACAGCATCCTTTTCTGATACTTTTCTCAAATGTACTATTTATACATTCATTGAAGGGCACAAAGTTTCAAATGTAATGTAGTTTCATTGATGACAGGGAGTTACCTAGGTCAGGAGAATATGCATCTCTGAAAAGCATTTGTCAACTCCTGTGAGGACAACTTGACCCTTGAGGTGTTTGTGGTGACTTGAAAGGGTGATAAATTCCATACATGCTCATGTGTCTTTGGTAGACATATGTAAACGTAGACACAAAATGATTGAGATGCACATGTACACAATGCTCATATGCCAGTATTACAGACCCACATATTCATAACCACTTACTGACAAATATGAACATAGATGTCATGGCCTTTAGCTGTGGGCCAGGTCCCATTCATATCTGTGACACTACAGATCAGAAGTGTCAGCATTTCCTTGGCATCTGCTTCCCAGTAGTGTGACTATATACCCATATACATATTCTCATGCTCATAGTTTCCACTATCTGTGAGCGTGATTTTGAAAGGTAGGAGGTGTTACTAAGGGGGGGGTGGAGGCTGCTTCACAAAAAGATGGAACTTGCCAGTGAGATTTAAGGTCTGGTAGTCAAAGGGTAAAAGGGGAAGGCAATAGCTGGAGAATCCCAAAAGACTCTTGTTTATGTTCCAAAGCTTTTATTCTTGCAGTATACAAATTAACCCAATCCTACAGTGTCTGAAAGATTTACTGGGGAAAAAAAAAAGCTCTCAGCATTCATAAATATGGTCAGTGTTTATGGGGTTATACTCATGACATGACAACTCCCACACATCACAAAGCACAGTAGGGTCTTTAGGGCTATCAAAATAAAGGCAGGCCAATGAAAACACAAAGAGACTCACAAACATGCATGCAGACACTCCTGACACACACACCATCTTCATCTAATGGGCATGTCTTCTTGGCTAAACCTTTCACAAACTGCAGGAGTGGTTGAAACAGTAAAAGCTACAGTGTATAAAGAAGCATACAGACACATAGAACTTGTCCCTGTGAGATTTACAGTATGACTTGAATGAGAGATACAGTAGTTGGAAAGCTTTACATAAAACTGTGGTCACATCATGAAAGAATTATCAAATCAACACAACACATTAACTGCAGAAGAGCAGAGTTTTTAGCCCTGCAGACAACTGGCTCTGTGGTGAATGTATGTGTTGCAATAAGATATAGCAGAGCAAACAAGAGGGGAGAAAGAGGAGAGCTACCCAAAAAATTACCCACTATCTAGTGTGCGAGTGACTGCACCAATTCTATCAGCCAAACTCATATTATCATTACTTCAGGCAATATATGAGCCACTTGCCACTTCACATTCCACTCGAGGCACTTGCACAGTACAGAGACAGTCCTTAGAAGGCCTTGCAAATTGAAGGCTACTGACATCATCATTTTCAGCATGACCATACTTTACTCAGTCTTGTTATTCCATTGTTTATTTCCATCTCAGCCTTTCTGGATATGTGGAACACCTGATCTTAATTCTCCAGACAGGCTCAGACATGAGGTAAGAAGGGGAAGATCTTAATGATGATAAAAAAGACAAATACCAGGAACATGGTTACTTCTATTCATGTAACTTTCTTGTAAAACAGCTGTAAGAGGTGCTTATCTCCAGCGCTCTGTGAACATCTGCACAGTTTGAAAGGAGTGGAATTTCATTGCAATTCTGTTTTAGTATGAGGAACACTGTGGGACACTAATATATCCTGTCCACATGACAGTAAGTTAAAAACAACAGTGATGATGAAAATGGGCCTTGTAGCCATGATAAGAGTTCATTTAGATATCAGTCCAGTGGAAAGATGGACAAATGCCCATCTGACCACCACAGTGCAGCCACAGAGTAGCTGACATTTGGATAGAGTTACATTACCTGATTTTGTGTTATTCTGATGCATAAATAATGCCATTCATGCTGAACACTTACCAAGTTTTTGTTTGTGATTTCATTCTCTGTTGTCTGATCTATGATCAACATTCATTGCTCAGAGTAGTTTCTTTCAACTGAATAAGATTTTATATGCATATCCTTCTTTCTCATTCAACTAACATGCCAAACTAGCATTTTTATGTTGAGATATCAGCATTGAAAGTGAGAAATATCATTTTAGAATCCTGCATTGGAAACCCAAACTTCCTGCTCTGTTCTTAGATTTTCTATTGTTCCTTTTCCCTCCCCCTACACATGGTTTCTAAGATTGAATGTATTATGAGCCAGATACCAGATTACAAGATGCCATCCATTCTACCCACTGAAAGCTGCTTGCCTGGCACGTACACACACACACACAAAATAAATAAATAAATAAATTGTTCTTTATGCTTTGCCTCTGCAATGCACATTAGTGCTAGGGCTGTGTATTGGCAAGAATCTGGTGATACAATACATATCATGATAGAGGGATTAGGATTCAATATATTGTGATGCTGTAAGCAAGGCAATATATTGCAATGTTTTTTAAATGCTATTTTAGGAAAAACTGTCATAATATAAGCAACAATACAGTATCGCAAAATGCTATATTGCAATACTCAAGTGTATTTATAGTTTCTTACACTCCTAATTAATGCATCCACTTGTAATATAATTGTAAACAAATTTAAATGCTAATAATTTTCCTAGATTATCCATTTATCTTGCAGTTTTAATTGAAATTCCAAATTTGTGGTTAATCATATATGAGACCAATAGCCTAAGTGATAAGACTGATTTATGAAAATAATCTGAATACATCCTGTTGTCACCTACAGTTTATTGCTTTCCATATGTCAGGCTTAGAGTCATGTTCTTGCATCTGTCACAAGATAAAACTTGGCTGTTGTAGTGGCTGGACAGTCAATTGTCTTATAAAATCTAAGTGCATAGTACTGAAGTTCCTGTACTATTAAAAATCATCCAACACATGTCTCCAACCCTGTGGGATTGTGCTTGTGGCTTTAGCAAGGAAAAACATAGTATGTTTTGGAAATTCCTAAATTAAAATTGCACTGCAATTACTAGAGGAAGAGTGAGGACAAGCTTGGACAACTAGTGCACTGCATGATTCAGCTGGGCATAGCAAAAAGCTCTTTGGCAGGCAAGACCACACTGAAACAGGCCTTTTGTCTACTACATAGCTTTGTTTTTCCAGAATTCAGACATCTGAACTGACCAGGCTACCAAGGCACTGTAATCAAAAATATAATCAAAAATAAACAAACAAAAAGAATTACACTGCACAGATTGTTATCACCCTCCAAAAATACAGTAAATTCTTCAAGGGTTCTGGTAATTGTTTTGCTGTCATGAAAGCAAGATCAGTTAGTGACAAAGCAGACCATATGGCAGACCATATAGTTTTATAAGACAAACACTTGAGGTGGGGGAAAAAAAGGCCTCTGTAACCTCTCTTCCCGTCTGTCCTTAGTGATCCTTCACCACAGTTTTGTTGCTGCCAAACCCACCGAAGAAGGCAGGGGTGTGTGTGGTGGGAAGGGGGCTAAGCCATGCCATGAGTTTTACACTTGACTACACCCAGCTACAATGAACCCAGGGAACTTGTTTTTTGCAAGCAAGAAAACAAACTGTAGTTGTATTTTGATGTAAACAAGGGTCAAGGGTTCAATTCCAGGACAACAAAAAGCTGGGTCAAGGTTTCAAATTAAATATGCTCTGGTAGGTAGAGCATGTACCTGAGAGCAAAATGACAGTTCATCAACCTCTGAATCCCAACACCTATTTCAGTTCAACAACAATCCAGTGTCTCAGGCCAATCCCATCCAACCCCAGCTCAGCCCCTTTGTCCCAACACTTACCCTGGAAGGCATCCGAGTGCCTGGAGATGAGGTGCTCAAGCTCAAAGCTGTAGGTGCGAATGTTCTGGAGGGTTTCTCGTTTTACAGCAAGCTGGTAGCTCTCTTCCATCTTTCGGGTGCAACAGGATGGGCCCTCATGCTTACAAACCAGCAGATCAACATCTGGGAAAGTCAAGCAAAAATGGACATATCTTTTCTTTTTAATTTTTTGGTCAGTAGTAACACACATAAGATATCAGTTATTGAATAAAAGTGCACAAGAACTGAGGGATCTCAGAACTTATTATTGCAAACTGTGCAAAGAATACAAACATCCTGCTCTTTCCTATGATATTTCAGCCACTCCTTACAACTTCAAAGGGAGTTTTGAAGGTTAAGACTTGGTTTTAGGGTTAAGGTTAAGGCACCATGGGAGGTGATAAAGTAGACCAGGAATTCATCTATGTTGCTGCAATAAATACTGTTGATGCTAAGTATTTAAATATCTTTGGCTCATTCAATTCAAAACAAGTCATCAAGATATGTACATTGTATATTCCATAAAAACACAAAAATAAATGTATGCTTTTGCATTTCGCAGGGCAAACATGCAAAACTTACTGTCAGACATACTGTACACATACACAAGTGTACAACTGTACAGTAACTTGTGTGAAATCGCTTATTGAACTAGACTGCTATTAGTCATAATGCTGTAGTTCATAACAAACACACAATCTAACTGTGAATACACCAATTCAAAGAACAGCTCAGTCAGGCACAGTTACATCAGCTGAGACAGAGTCCACCCTACCCTGCCAGCGCCACCTGCTTCTCATCATTGCTACATATATAAACACTGTCATGACATCACAGACTGGTAACATTTGGCATAGGCTACTAAAACTGTCCTTTCCCACATGTTTCATTGTTCAGATTCACACACACAGGTCCATTTCCATAATGCAGAAGACTGACATGATAACTCTTTTTACAGGGGGAAGGGTTGGATGGGGGTGGCTGAAGGCAGGTGTTGTAACCAGAGCCTAAAGCATGGCCTTAGGACTGACCGCAAGACCACTGCCTCACTGTCCAAATCCCTCCATGAAACACAATAGGGTTGCATTCTCAATCCCTCCTTCTCCCTCTCTCCCATTTGCCTGGCATATCCCAGTGAGGCCTGGGTGTCTCTTAATTACCCAGTGAGGCTCCATTTGTTCCCATCCCAGAGCCAGACGAGTGAAGTCATAACTGGTTGTCCTGCCCCGTTCAGTTCATTAGCTCCATCTCTGCAGCACTCTACTCTCTACTTTCTGATGACCACAATCATTGTGAATCACACTCTGTTTAAACATGAAGGCCATGATTATTTGTAGATAAAGTTTTTGACCTTAACCATTTAACTGAACACTTGAATGGATCAATGGTCATTTATCAATGCAGGACATGTAAATTCATGAATAACTCCATAAATATTATGGGACATATACTGTAATGACACCAACCTTTTAAAATGATCTCTTTTAATAAGACCATACAGACTACACCCACCTTAACAACAGAAGCAAAAACCATTAAAATCTGATCCACTGAGTTGAATTTAATTTGGAAAGTCTTAAAAGAGCCATAGAATCTTATTTTATCCCATTCATGTGTGTGGGGAGTCAACAGCAAGTCAGCTGACTTGGCTCAGCTTGACCAGAGAAGGAAGCTAGTGGGCATGATCAGTGGGCCCAAAAACATCTGGATAATATTTTAGGTCAGATTACAAAAGCATGGTGATTTTTTTCTGAATATGTGACACTGAGCAACTTATAATGAACGGGTGCCATCTTGTGATCCAGTATCCAGTTCTCCTTAATGCACGGCCAGCACCCAGGGGGGACCTAATCATTGTGGTTATTTTAAACAAGCTGATTCATGAAACAAATTACTTATAACACACAACTTAGTGGTTTAAACATAGTCCCTATTTCCTAAGCAAAAGTGAATCTCAGGAGGATTAGGTCTTAATACAGAACTCTTAACTATACATTTTAGTGTCCTTTACTGTATTATAACTCTTTGTAGTAAAGCAAGGTACTCTAATCCAGCTCCTGGAAAACATTCTTAGGCCACATGGCAAATGGTGCACCTCTTGTCAAATAGTCATAGATTTTTAAAAGCATGATATATTGTTTATATATAAATATATATACTGTTTATATACTGTTTATATTCTGTTTTAGGGTTGTCATTTCACCACATTTGGTGTCATCATCACTCCCCTGTTCACTTCATGGCTGGCTCATTCTCCCCTTTGTGTTTATGTGTTATGAAAGCAATATCCAGGGACTCACAGTGGAATCCAGACTGGCCTTTCTGTCCCTTGCGAGAGGCTGCATGGAGTAAATGATACTCAAAAAGACTTTGGCTGCTGAAGCCACCACGGCAGTCAGGACAGGCTGACTATGTCACAAATATAGCACACTACTTTCTGCAGTCATTAAAAGCCATATCACAGCTTGTATGTATAACAGCAAACAAAATGCCATATTAAAGCCATTGACTTATTAGTCACAATCCCATGAGCAACACCTCAGTGCCCTTCATTGTACAAGTCAAAACTTTTGAATGGAGAAACTCCGCCACCACAAATCTCCTCAAAATGGTATGGAATTTTTGTTTTGATGTAGCATGTTTGATGACTAGGAGGGCTGCAGTTTCCTAATTCTGCTGTTTTTATCCTTTTCTGAGAACAAGAATAACTTTGTTAGAAAGCAGGCAATTAATGCAGTTACCCCTCTGCTGCCTCAGGAAGCCAGTTCCCTTTGAAGCTCCCATATCCAGAGAACATACGGGATATTTACTCTGTACAAATTTGCTGTGCTTTGGATGGGCCATGCTAAAGGAAAACACATCTCAAAGGATTTTTGCTGCATACCTGCTATTTGGACAACCATCAAACTCAATTGGAACATTTAGCTTTCCCAGAGACCAAGCTGGAACTGCCTACACTGATTGGCATGAAGTCCAAAACCACACAAGAGTGGCATGAAGTCCAAAACCACACAAGAGGGCAGAAGCTGGACAGAAAGAGCTTAAAGAGAGAAGTGGAAGGTTTGTGGGTGCATAGAGCCACACCTGATGAAGATGCAGTACATAAGTGGGGTGTTCAGCCACAGACTGGCGGAGCAATTATGTTACAATTTAAGATTACCTTGCTGAGGCTTTTGACACTATGATTAAAAATGTGGTGACAACAACAAAGTGTGTTTCCACTCCCCTACTTTAATATAAGGCAAGTAGGGTCATATGTTAAAGACACTGTTTTACTCTAAGACAGCTGTTAATACAGAGTAAATCAAAAAATAACAGTGGAGTAATATGATAAAAAAGTGTTCTCTGAAGTAAGTGCACACACAGCTCTGCTCAATCAGATGGTTTTAACTGAGCTGTAAAACAGACTGATCTGAGGGCATTCCCAAGACACTACTGCTAGCTATCTGTATTCCAAATGATCTATCCAAAGGGCTATATCAGCACCCCGTGGTAATCTCAATATGGAGCATTTGGCTGTGTACCACAGTACTAACATGGTCATAACTTTTCAAAATAACCACAGGATAAGCAGCTTCATGTCACTAATTATCTAACATCCTTTGATGCTGATTCTGGCATGAAGTAAAAGTTGCTCTTTAGAAATTATGGCCCAAGGAACAAACAAAAGTAGTAACAGCTATAGTAGGAATGAATTCAGGCAGGACCTTTACTTTTAAAAATATTTTAACATTGAACTATATTGTAGCATAATACAAGTACTTCTTCCACCATCCCTTAGAAAACTAAGAATACAGTGCCCTTGATATTCATAAGACACTATCAGGCACTTATTATGCTTTCCAGAACTCATAACAAAGAAACACTGCATAAAATTTCGGCACCATAAAAAGTGCATTTTTTTATATAAGATCATATCAAACTTGCCAGCTCTTAAGATCCCTAATGCCACACTCAGTGAGGAATCAGTCCATCAAATATGAATGAAACGCAGTACTACCTGAACAAACATCATAAAAACGGCTGAATTTCTGCCACTTCAAATTTCAAGACTTGCTTTTATTGGCATTTGATCTGAAGCAGAGTAGCATACAAGTGTACACAGGCACGAATACATTAAGTCTCCCACCCGTAACAGCCCCATGCACTGGTCAGTGCTTTGAAGACAAGATTGAGCCTGACTCAAAACAACCTCCAGTGCAAATAAAAATCAAAATAAGATACAGTAGAAGACCAGAATGTACTGGTGAGGTTATGTTTGATTAGCTGTGAAGGGAAGGAATGGCAGTGAAGTGGAGGAGTGTAAAAGCACAGAACTTTAGTTCACCATACCTTTTTAATAAACAAATATCTATATCAATTAATAGCCCAGACCAAGGAGCCACAGTTTGGATCTGGATCATATCAGCCCCATTTCCCTGTTGATAAGCAGCTGGGTGGCATGTAGCTACAAAATGCTATGATTCTAAATACATAAAAGGAGTGTCTCTGAAATAAAATATGGCACTGTGGTGGTGGTGGTGGGAGTGAGGGGGCAATTTCATTAAAAGGAAAGCCTATTGCATCTCCATCACGCCATACTGTCAGGTAAAACGTTCTTCAACAGCTGCAGTTGCAAACTGAGATACTGTATGTAGCCTCTGCCAGTGGACTGCAGACTGTAAAGGCTCATCACGCAAACCTTGCCAGATTGACATTCGGAAAGCCAAGGTCCTTCCACGGTTTTTAAAAGTTAATCCAATGAAAACTGGCATCTTCTGTTGCTAGTAGTGACGCATTGCTAAACAAACAATATCAAGTGGTTTGGATGCACCTGCTTCCTCAGCTATCTATTGCTCTTCTCCATGTTACAGCATGCAGACTCAGACTGGGTCATACTTAAGCTGCCGCCAACATGTATGTGACACTATTGCAGCAATGATTGTCTATGCTCATGTAGATGCAGTCAGTCATGCACTGAACATCTACTGGCATTTGAATATGTGTGGAATAAAATGCACTTAGTAAATCTTAGTCACCCAAGGCTATAGGAGTTAGGGAAAAGATTTACAGTTAACTAAAAGACTGCAGTAAGAATACAATGACAATACCAACTGAATGGCCTGATTTGTTGTGTCCAAATGGGAGTGTTGAAATGGCCCCATATAAAAGAAATATGGCATTAACCAGTTAAAAGTTATGAGAAGTATCACTACACTGAATAACTTTCAAGCAAACCTAACATAGCTGCAACAAAGCCTAAACCCACTCAAATTCTATTTTGTCTCCAAAACAGATTTGGAACCAGTGTTTAGCCTCATAAAATAAATTTTCCTCAATGTGCACAATGCACATACCACAAAACCTCCAAGGCATTTGAGGTTGCTTTCAAGGATCACTCTGACAAAAGACAGGAACAATTTGTGAACCATGTCAGCAGAGCTGCCAGGAGAGCCTACAGACCTGTTGGAAAAGTCTGAACAATGTAACAATCCATATACAGTAGGAGCCTCTATATTCACAGAGATTAAACCATGTGAGACCTCTGCATCACACTAGACTGGTTTCAGTTTTAAAAATCCCTGTCTCAGCAGCTTGTGAATGTGCTGCACAGCTTCTCTGCCAAAAGAAATATGCAAATAATTGTTTAATCTCTCCAAACAGCCTGCATATGATAAGCAGCTGGGTGGCATGTAGCTGCAACTCGTGGAGAAAACTCAAGAAGCACCAATGATAGAATAGATGGACCACTATGTTGTCTAACTTAAATGTTTGATACAGGACCTATACAGATACATCATTTAGAAGAAAAAAAATAGGACTGTACAATGAAACACAAATATGTTGTGTGAAATATTACATAAAAGCACTGGCAAACATTAAGACAAGCATCTCTTGCTTTAGGATCATTTCAAATATGGCATCATGCTATACTGTTTAGTTAGTGGTGGAAAGTCACTAAGTGCATTTACTGAAGTACTGATGTACAACTGTGAGTAATAAGTACTTTGAGTATTTTGTGCTACTTCATACTTTGACTTCCCTACATTTTAGCAGCAAATATTGTACATTTCAATCCACTACTAGTTTTTCAAAACCACATTAATGCAAAAATTACAGTATAATCACGAGACTTTATTACAGTCATGGTGGAGAATGCACCTCCTATCCAACAAAAATATACAACTACCCCCCCCACACCACCACCACCACCACCTGCAACACTGAAGTCATATTACACAATAACACATCACTAAATTTAATCCAATAACAAGATATACATTAATGTTAAATGTGCCATTCTGCACAGTGAATACATTTAGTACTTTATGTATGTTTTGGTGCCAATGTTACTTGAGTAACATTCTGAATGCAGGAGTTTTACTTTATTAGTTTCACACTGTGGTACTTTTACTTAAGTAGGAGGTCTGAGTACTTCTTCCACCACATATTCAACAGGACAAAAAGTAGTTAATGGCTAAAAGCCTTTAAAAGTCTCTTTAACTAATATGATGAAACAAAAGTAAGGACAGAAGCACTTTCTCAGGCTTTCGGTTTCTTGCTGCTGTCACCTGAATAGCATGCGCTTTAGTCAAAGTGCTACTCAGCCAAATAAAATAAAATCAAAAGCCTCACCTGTGCCAGGTGTCTCCGGTACGCGGTGCAGCGGACCGACCTGCCGCAGCTGGAAAGCGGTCCTCACTTCATGACAGCTGTACGCGTCCACGATTATCACATTTACCGCAATTGTGACCGCAGACAGCATCCAAAAGGCTCCGCAAGAGTTCACGCGTGTGCATATTCCCCGGGACATTGCCGCATCTCAAACCAGGTATCCTTGTGAAGAGCCTACTGTAGCCTAACTGCAAAGTGTGTGACAGTGCTGGAAATAAACGCTGCTGAAGAACAGTGAAGCAACGATGAGTTTAAACATCTGACAAACGTTTCCGTCTGATTTTCACATTATTGGTTGGGATGAGCGTGCGCGCCTCACATCAGAGGTCTGGAGCCTTCTCTCTGACAGAGGAACAGCGGTGTGGGATACGCCAGCCTGTCCCGCGCTCAACACTTTGCAGTAGTCGGCTGTCTGCATGCCCGTTTCCAAAGCCTTGCGCACACTCCCCGCCCTGTCTGTTTACTTCAGCTAAATGCCTCAACTAACGCTCCCTACAATGCGTTATCATTATAACTTAACAATCCCATGCGGTTTTATTAAACCAGTAGCCAAGTTCGGCTGTGGCTTTCTGTGTTCCTCAGAAAATCATTTAACGCTTAAGTTATATTTGTAGCAACAACTGAATACTATAAAACACTGCTATACACAAGGTTAACAAATACGGCTTCAATTCGGTGGCTGCAATCCTGATCTAACCTATAAATTCAAATCATATTTCATGAAATCAAAACATCACCTATAGTCTAAAAGCTGTCATATAGGCTAATAGACTACTGTATATAGAATAGAATCCCAACTTTAAACTCAAGTACACAGTCAGTGCTAGTAAAAGGAGAATATTAAAAATACTGAGGGCACAAAATGTTATCAGGTTCTTCGGGAATACGAGAGGATTTAATGGCAATATGTCAGTCTGCTCAGACAGTTAGTAGGGTTTAGGTTAAACAGCGCAGGCCATGTTATTTAGCTGCAATTGAGTCTGTCTACATTAGAGAGAATCTCCAGGTTAATGTTGCCAGAGGATGCAAAATGTTATTCGATTTACGTTGCTGCCACCTTCTGGCGAAAATATGTAGCAGCCTTTAAAAGCAAATGCCAGTTTTTCCCAGACTGGTCTTCCTGTGACCAGTAATATGAGCCTTGACAAGATTTATACCATGTCTGCTTATAATGGTATCAAGTATGAGATGGAGGGTCAAACGTAATTTAATGATTAAGCTCCCATCATCCAGTCATGATTATGCTGTTTTCTATACAGTTTCCATCCTTAGCACTGCAGAAGCCCTTCTGGCAGCAATTACAGCTTCCAGTCTTCTTGGGCATTCATTTTCATTTTAACTTTGATGGAGAAATCTACTGGGAAAATGACTAAAATTATGGGAGTGAGAGCCCTGTGTTCTTAACAGGATGATACTCACATTAAGCCCTTGGCACATCCTGACCTGAAATATGCGTTGAGAAAAAGAAAAGTGCATGCTAGCTGTAATTCTCACAGATTTATTAAAAAGCACAGGCTAACGCTCAGGTAGGCATAGTGAAAATTGCACCCAAAGCCTGGAAATATCAAGAGTGTTGAGCAATTGCGTTAAGCTCAGATCTGGGGCTTAAGACAGTCAATCACTAAATCTAACCTTTTCTTCTCTGTGCCCACACTGTAAACAACAAAATATCAGTCAATTTATTGACTATCTGCTATCAGCTGCTCAAAGAACTTTTGTTTTTTGTCTGATCATCGTTTATCGCACTCAGCCGGAGAAGTTGGATTGTATTTAGGTTTTAATCACAGTGTTTAAAACCATGTGATGTAATTAGTGTAGTGATCAATGGAAAATACTGATTTGTGGCCACATACAGTTTGTTTGTTATTTGTAATCCAGATTACAAGTTTTAAAATCCTGCTACCTCAGTAACTGTTTTTTACATCCACACAGTACAGGAACCGTTAACACAGCTTGATTGTACATGTGATTTTAGTTGACTTCATTAATCACAATTAAGTCTTTGCTTTCATTTCAGTATTATGAGATGTCCTATGGGCTGAACATAGAGATGCACAAACAGGTAGGTACCATCATGGTTCTCACATTTTTCAGCTCAGTGGTTTTCTGCAGCGTCAGGGGATCTCAGACCCAGGAGGAGCCACTCGTAGGCTGTGAACTGAAATGAGCATCAGTAATACGCTGTAAACACATGGATCTACTGCACGCAGACAAGGCAGTTCAAAGTTTATTACCAGGAAATACGTCATGACCTGACGACCTGTACTGTTTACATTCTCAGTGTGAACATACATAATTGCACAATGACTGCTGCACATGCTGCTCCCATGCAGCATACATTCTCTATTCTTATATATTTTTATTATATCTCTGCATTTGCTGTTTGCTGCTTAAAGTGTCTTAGATTTTGTGTTACTTATTTATCTACTTTATATTTCATTTGTATTTTGTGGCATTCATGTGGACGGCAAAGTAAGAATTTCATTGTAGAGGGAAATACATTTCCTAACTGTGCATATGACAAATAAACACTCTGACCACATCCTCAGTTGTTGTCATTAAAGTTTTTGACCTTAGCCATTGTAACCTAAATAAAAATCAATTTTCCCCAGGCACTAAAGATTCATGCCACTGGAGCTAAAACAGTAACAAATTGGTCCTTTAAACTTTGGAAGCAAAAAAAAAATGGCAGAACTTATATTGGTGTAAACTTCATTCTGACCCATAGTAGCGCCCACTTACCTGGAGCAAAGGTGGGAGTTGTTTGCTTACATAGTAATTGTAGTTAATTTTGCTAGCTAGCCACATTTCCATCCTTTGACAGAGTTTGTTTAACAACAGATGTCTTCAAAATAAAGTATCTGATTTGGAAAATACCCAAAATGGGCAAAATACTTAGAGAATCCACCACCAGTTGCGCCTGTACTGGTCACTGTTTATAGCTGATATTACCATACTTCAAACAGGACACCACCTGTTAGCCTACAGCAGAAATAGGCATTCACGTTGTATTTCCTCTCTCCACCTCCATCTAACATGGTATCTTCCAGCTTCTGATTGGCTGAACACACCTGATCCAGGTAATCAGCAGTGGATGGGGCCAGTTGGAAAACAAGCAGGGCAGCGGATTGCCCGCCCCTGGCCTACGGCTAAAGGTGTTGCTGCAGTGACCTGCCCTAATAAACATCTAAAATGAAGAAAAGTAAGCTGGGGGCACATATTTTTCTTTTACAAAAAACTAATATCCGGTTACTTTAATAAGTTAGCTAACTAACTAGAGCTTCAGAGAAGACATTTTAACTTGTCATAACAGGAAAAAAGTGGAATTAATTACTAATTTACCAATGGCCCCGTTTCTTTAATTGCCTGTCCCACTGAGCCAGCACCCACAATACCAGGCCCTCTCAGCACCATTAATGATATAAATACATCATTTCTTGCCGATATGTCAAAATTAATGCAAAGTTGTAGAAGTAGGCCTATAAAATATTTATATCAAAGAAATCAGTTTCTCATGTAGACTATGTCCAGTAATTGCAGTGCCTGTGTCTGACTGCACAAAGTAATTACGGTAGCCTATTAGTTTCTGGAGACACTCACAGCTTTGTGTGACCTTTTCAGAGCCAGTGGGTCTACAATAATAAAACAAGGTCATCAGATTATTTAGCTTGTAGAAATTTTTTGCAACAGTATAAGGACAGTCAATGTAGAGAAAAAGGTAGGAAATTGGTATATTATTCAATTGGGAATTTGACAGATTCTAATTGTACTTTGTTATATTTTTTAAGATTAAATGGAGGTACTGTATTTTAGAAGAAGAACATTTACTATAGTAACCCTTTGATTTAACCCTTTGTTGTGCAAGATGGGGGAAAAGTGACCAGAGTAAATGATTTTGTTTAATATATTTGCATGTTATCACTCAATATTTAACAAATTCCTCAACCAGGTTGTTTTTTTAACATGACAAACATTTATATTTGTTGCTTTTTGAATGAAAACATTTTTGTATCAGTACCCTGTTAATGCACAAGATGAGTCAAAAAACATAGTTTCTGGGTCACAGTTTCACTTGTGGAGGAGACTGCCTTTTGTACTTTTTGCCCCAGAATATCAAGGTTAATTTGGCAGATAGTCAAAGATCTTTATTCCTCAGCAACGTTTCTGGGTTTCAGGCTGCAGAGGACACTCTTCATGGTGATGGTTCTTGTCAGGCTCACTTTGCTACTAAGGAAATCAATTGAAAAAGTCAAGACTTTTTTCATTTATGTATTTAGCTATTTGTTTTTGAAAAATGGTTTGTGTGTCTCCCAAAACTGATGCCTTACTGGTGAACTTGGTCACCAGATGGCGCCAATCACCCTGGTTTTGGGAGTACTCATTCATGCCATTGGTGTTCATTTATGCAGGTTAAAGGTTTTCTGCATGAAGTACCATTAACTTAGCTCAAAAACAGGTCAATAGAAGATGAAAAGGATAACATTTTTAAAATCAATTTTACACTGTCAGGGATGATAGGAAATCACAGGAAATTCTCTCTGGGCAACATAGGCATCTAAACCCTGCTTTGAACTGAGATGATCAGAATCAGAATCTGCTTTATTGGCCAGGTGTGTCAGACACAACAGGAAATTGACTCTGGTACATCGGCTCTCAATGTATACGTACATATCCCCATATCCGGGGTGTGAGGGGTCTGCAGTGATCCTCTCCGCCCTCCTTTTGACCCGTGAGGTGTACAGGTCCTCCATGGAGGGCAGGCTCACACAATTACCTTTTCTGCAGTCCTCACTGTCCGCTGAAGTCTGTACTTGTCCTGTTTGGACAAACCAGACAGTGATGGAGGTGCAGAGAACAGACTCAATGATTCCTCTGTAGAACTGTATCAGCAGCTCCTGGGGCAGGTCGAACTTCCTGAGCTGGCGCAGGAAGTATATCCTCTGCTGTGCCTTCTTGATGATGTCCTGATGTTGGACATCCACTTAGGTTGGTGCGGCTACACCACAGGACCAGCTGCTCAACCTCCCGTCTGTAGGCTGACTTGTTGCTGTCTCAGATGAGACCATTGACCGTTGTATCATCAGCAAACTTTAGGAGCTTGACATAGGGGTCCTTTGAGATGCAGTCATTGGTGTAGAGTGAAAACAGCAGAGGGGAGAACACACATCCCTGGGGGGCGCCTGTGTTTTCCCCAGCTTCACCTGCTGCTTCCTGTCTGTCAGAAAGCTTGTAATCCACCGACAGGTGGGGGCAAGCACATTGAGCTGGGTCAGTTTAGGGTGGAGGATGTCCGGGATGATGGTGTTGAATGCTGAGCTGAAGTCCACAAAGAGGGCCCGTGCATAGGTCCCTGGGAAGTTGAGGTGTTGCAGGATGTAATGCAGTGCCATGTTCACTGCATCGTCCACTGACCTGTTTGCCCGGTAGGCAAACTGCAGGGGGTCTAGCAGGGGGTCTACGATGTCCTTCAGGTGGGCCAACACCAGTCTCTCAAAGCACTTCATAACTACAGATGTCAGGGTGACAGGTCTGTAGTTGTTCAGTCCACTGATGGAGGTTTTCTTGGTGACTGGAATGATGGTGGAGCGTTTGAAGTAGCTGCAGTCTCAAATATATTCCAGTCTGTGCAGTCAAAGCAGACCTTTAGCTCTGACTTAGCCTCCTCAGTCCAGCTCCTCACTGTTTTGACTACAGGCTTTGCAGCTTCAAGTTTCTGCCTGTAGTTTGGAATAAGATGGACCATACAGTGATCTGAGAGTCCGAGTGCTGTGCGGGGGACAGAGTGATAGGCGTCTTTTATTGTTGTGTAGCAGTGGTCCAGTGTGATTTTGTCCCTGGCAGGACAGGTGACATGCTGTTTGTATTTAGGCAGCTCGTGGGAGAGATTTGCTCTGTTAAAGTCCCCTAGAACAATGAGTGGAGAGTCGGGATGTTCTAGCTCCACGCTAGTTATCTGTTCTGCCAGGATATTTTTTGTTTGGGTTTTTCTGTTTAGAAGTAAGTCATAATACATGGGAATTCATCAAGTGATGATCACAGAACAGTGATCATCTACGTTTAACCATAATATGGTGGTCATGAACATAACTGTGGTGCCTCTGAAGCCACTTAAGGACTTGGGAAGAATGAGGTAGCTGTAGTAGTCATGGCAGGGGATCCTACATTTTGTGTCCTCCTGCTGCATTTGGGTTGAGTAGTTAGTAGACAGTCTGAGTGGTCTTTAGCCCATCAGTTCTGTCCCTCTAAACTGGGGACTTAAGGGACTTACAGGGGGTTAAACTCTCAAGATTGGAGCCCTAAACTGCCCATTTGAGAGATTATGCTCTTCATTCTTCCATTTTCACCTTTCTGTCTTAATAGAGCAGCGGGAAGTGCTGAGGATGGTTGTTAGAGACGTGCCTCAGCTTGACATCTTCAGAGGGAGGAAATGGTGATAAATGAGTGTTGAGAAGCTTGATTAAGTAGAACACCACCTCATGTTGTGCAGCTGAATTCTAAGGAATGTGTAAATGAGCTTTTATTTAAAAAGAAGAAGAAAGAAAAATCTTTCTAAGTAATGGAACATTTTGTAAGTGTAAATAGGATATGTTGTGCAATGAGAAGGAAAGGCATGCTTAAATTTACAGGATATGCATACAGTACATGAAACATGGAGTGGTCAAATGTCTACACACTGGTGGTCAGACCAGGACCCTCATGCTCCATTTCTCTTGAATGGAGATGTGAGGCGTGGAACTAAATTGTACTGCATCCTTAATGAGAACCTAACATCTTCAGTGCCATTGGCTCACTGTCTGTCTGCATGGCGCTCCCAGGGAGAACGGGGAACACCACTGAGTCTCACGGATGCTTTCAGGAATCCAAATGCCACCCTACACCGCCCTTAGAGGTGGCACACCATTTACAGCAGCGCCATGTGGAGGTGCCAGTCCCCGATAGCAAGATATCACACTTAATAAAACCTTTTAAAGCAGAGTCCTTGCTGTATTTTTAATATTTCCTCTATGACATTTAATTGATTAGTATAATGGTTTTTATAGACTCTTCATTAGCCTGTTACAGCATTTGATCGATACATCATTATGTGCATGACTGAACTGATTAGCAGGCATCTGCTCCAGGACACACTGGTCTTCATCTGTAAACAGTCAGTAATGTCATAATAGTCCACTACATACATGAACTGACAATGTCGTTACTAAGCCATTAACAAGACTGACTAGCTGACTTCATGTTTTTAGCTTGTTAGTACATTAAATATGAGATGTATTCTTGCCATATGCTAAGCTAGATAGAACACAGACTGGTTCTACCTTCTGGCATTGCATATTTACATGCACAAACACTCACTGAACTATTACAGGCCATATAATAAGACCAAATATTTTAAACTGAGTAATATCTTCTCATAATGAGTTCAATCACATATAATACAAATCATTTTATCATCATAATCTACTCAAAAAGTCATGTCAATACAGTAACACATGCTTTCCCACTGAATTCAGCCATTTTGGATACCTTTCTCTCTATATGCAAGTCTCTGTGTGTTTGTAAGCATGTGTGAACAGAACAGTTACAGGCACTCTGTCTTATTTCACCCTCCATTCTGTCCCTGAGAGAGTGTCCTCCACTGTTCGCAAAGCAAAGCACAGTTGTTTACATAGGTGGAAAACTGTTTAATCCATTCACCCCTGAGATTTCCTCATTGTCTGTGGTCATTAAACTCTGATGGGACCTAAATGCTTCCATTGAGATTGTACATATGGACTGAGATCAGACCTGGGGCCTTTGTGTATACTCAATGTGTATGTGCATGTGTGTGTCTGTGTTAGTCTGGGATAGAGTGAGTGACTTTGTGCATGACCAATCATCCACATCCCTCACAATAGGCAGAAAAAGGGGGTGACTATTTTGACATAGCATTTCATCTCAGTGAGATCATAGCAATTGACTTTTTATGGCATGTGGCATGCTGTTATGAGAGGAGTGTTTGAACTGGGTGCAGTGAAATGCTGTTTAATTTCACCATATTTTGCCCTTCCTTTCCTCACTTCAAAACAGATACCTCTTATGATAATGGTATGCAATCCAGTACAGTGGTCCACAAACAGCTGAACACAACAGTG